CAAAATAATTATAAAACGCTAAAATTATGATTAATTGTGATAATAAAGCATTTAAATTAAGAAAAATGATAGTTTTAATGATGATTAAGCATTAATACTTCCAAAGAATCTCAAAAATCGATAAATCAAAGATATCTTAAAAATCGAATCAAAGAATCTTAAGCGATTTGGGAAATATAGTTCCAATAGTTTCGTCAGAAGATTGGCCTAAAATTTGGATGTTTGGTGCAATGTTAACCAAACATTCAACCAAAGTTTGGTTTAATGTTAATTTCACTTTTTCCGTACTTATCAAGTGTTCCGAAAAACTTTTGTATACAATTATAACATTTGCTTGTCCAAAGACAATTCCATGCAAAAATAATTTAAATAATTATTTATTATTTTTGATCATTTTATTTATTAATAGTCAAAATATTTTTGAATTGTTAAGCATACAAGTTTTTACATCATTTTGAAGAATGTAATCTTTTAAGGCAAAATACAAAATTTAAACGAAATTCGTCCAATAGTTTTTGAGGGAACAAATTTTAAAAATACGATATCTTTTTTAATAGTTATTTAAAGGTTGAAGTATTGAGAAGTAATTTTGGAGGAAATTACAAAAATGGTGTGTGACTTCGAAGAACAAATTTAAAGCTTTGTTACCCATATAACAAATAGGAAATTACTTCATTAAACGGTAAAAATTAAAATGGGCAAGTCACGTTATCAGAATGGATAACAACAGTACCAAAAAAAAAGGAGCTTTTTTTTATTTTTTATTATTGTCAGATCACTAAAGAAAAAAGGAAATGACATATGCACGTGAAAAAAAAGGCAGGCAAAATTTGAGATGGATAGATGTTCTAGAAAAACAACTTTTGTTCTTAAAAACTGAAAAGTGGAAAAGAAAGGTTGGCCTGGAAAAAACATCTTGGGGAGACCAAGGCCCACCCTGGGCCGTCGAGACATTTATGATGATAATGATCTAAAGGTTCACTGCGCAGTTTATTTAAAGGGGATATAATGATATAAATGGTTTATGTATATTTTGGATTAATGCAAAAGCAACGAATTTCAAAAAACTTGAACATAGAATATAAGTCATTTAGTATATTAGCTAATTCATTAACTAAACAAATTTTCTGGGATTTCAACAACAGGGTTTTGATCAATTTATTTTAATAATCTAGCTTCTGAATAATCACACTTTCTTCAATATTTTAGTCTCTATTTTTAAATATCCAAAATATTAATTCTGCAGTTTAATATAAGAACATCTAATGTCAAATTTTGTAATTTCGAAAATAAAACTGAGACTTTAAAATTTTCAACAAAAAAAAAAATATATTAATGAGAATATTTCTTTTTATGAATTGGTTAATAAAAATTACCCCGAACTTTAACGTATGACTTATGTTACTTTCGTTCTTAGAACTTCGTATTCAACATATTACATAATGTTTTGACTATTATTGACATTGGTTTTCATTAGATTTATGGATAGCACCCCGAGTACTCTGAGTATCTATTAATAGAGATAATACGAGTACTTAAACAAATAATTAATAATATACACAACAAAGGGGACTTAGAAAAATAACTATAATCACCCCGAAAATAAACTAAAGAGGAATATCACTTTTAAATTAAAATTAAGAGGCGTTATCACGTGTGCTCTGAAAATCAATTAAGGGAGATAACACCACTAGTACTCTGAAAATTAATTAAAGAAAAAAAACCGTAAAGAGCATTTTTAAAAAGAAATTGAAAAGAACAGCACAACGAGCATTATGCGAATCAATTATGGGGGATATTACAAGTATACTCAAATTTTTATTAAATGGACAGCACCACGAACACTCTGAAAATCAATATGGTTTCGTGTTAAAAATAGAATGCAAACCTTTTAAAAAATTTTACACTTCATAGTAATATATTTTAGGTAAATTTTCTATGCCTAACAAAAAAAAAAACGTGAACGGGTAAACGTAAAAAATGATGCAGTAGCTTCTTTTATCAACCTAAAGGTTGTGAAACATAATACTAAAATTTATTTTAAAATAATAAATTTTAGAGTTAGGAAAATGCTATCACGTTGAGTAGTTTTAATCAGTATTTAATGATTTGAGTATTTTGAACTTAGAGCTCTAATTAATTATTTTTAGTGCTTTAAAAGCACTAAACAAGCTAATTAATTCCGAAATTTAGTGGAAAATATAAAAAACGTAACGAACTCAAACTTTTCCTAGCAAAAAGAAATTTGTAACTATAAATTACACGTTGAGGCCCTGTTGAAATGGAATTCTTTGCTTGTAGTGTGTAGTTTTATTTTTAATTGATTTTATCATCCTACAAAATAAAACTTTAAGGTCAGCTAAATGAAATGAGAGAAAAAAGTATGACGAAAATCAGATCCCAACTCCCATTTTTCAGATAACTCGTAGATTTAAGTAGAAAAGTAGGTCACATCACTTACATTCTTAAGAGAAGAGAAAGATTACTCGCCTGCTTTTATTTATTTATTTATTTATTTATTGTCACTACTATAGAGTCTTTTTTCAGTTTTTTTTTTAAAAAAAATTAATAAATAAATTTTGAATTTGAATGTTAAACAACATTCAAAATATTTTTCACTTAACGAAGTAGTTGTTTTATTTAATGTCAGCTGCTTCATATACTATAGATAGCTATTGAAGCTATTTTAGCTATCAAGCTATTAAGCTATTGAAGCTACTTTAAACCATGAAAGCTATTTCACCTTCGTCTTTATCGTTGTCCATATGTGCCCACTCCATAACGTTCCATTCCATAAAGGTGAAATGAACTCTTTAAATAGTGAACAGTGAAATAGACGACGATAAAAACCATAAAAGTGGCAGCAATTGCTGATATGAGAGCTGATGTAAGCAAAACTATATCAGAATGAAAACTACTACGATCATTCAAAACCATTAAAAGAAATATTCAAATGAAAAAGAAATGTGCTGAACTCTATTTTAGTTCACTCATTAAATGTGAAAGCATTAGTGAAAATTTAACATTACGAAATGCACAGCAATGTAAAATCATTGTCTTTTTCAAGTAAAATATACATAAGTACATATTTTTTTATGTATTTTTTTATAACCACCGTTGAACAATAGACCAATTTTTGTGTTTACGACTACCAATGTTCAACTCAGTCGCCTTGTAATTTTGAACCAAGACAAGGAAACTTCGAGATCAAGTATTGAGAGTAATTTGCCTTCGTGGAGGACTATTTGATAGAACTAACCCGCATTTGCGTGATAAGAAGAGGAAAACCACAACAACTACACGCGGTTAGCCTAACGGCAAGGGGACTCCGTCAGGATCCGTCTGCCACAGATGATATTTTACGTCAGCACTGTGGTTAAGGCACTGAACTATCATAGTAAAGAATTGGGGTCTGATCCCTAGTAGTAGTTTGAAGCCCATCCAGCTTCAGATTGATGAGTGCCAACTGGTCTGGGAAGTAACGGTGGCTCATGCGCAATACTGACCGCATTGCTACACTCTTGACGTTGTTCATGAAATTGTGGAGCCATACTCTGCATGAATCTCCTTGCCTACAATGGGCTGTTGCTGGAATTTTTAATTTTAATTTTTATATACATTATTCTCTAAATTGATTAATTATCTTCTTAGATCATTTTATTCAGACAGTAACGATAAATGATTTTAATACATTTAATCCCTTGGGGACGGGTGATTCAGAAAAGCGTTCGTTCAAAATCAGAATCAAGTTGTAATTAAATAAAAAACGGTAACTTAAATGTAGTCGTTACTAATTTGACAGACTTACTTTGCTTTTATTTTAATTATTGTTAGTTTAATCATATATATAATCAATGTTAATTCAAAGTATAACTAAATAGTTTTATTTTGAACAAAGTAATGGTGAATTAAATAAATCAAACAATTATAACTCCGCCCACAAATAAACTGCTATAGAACTACTTTGATTACCAGTTTTATCTTCTTACCCTGATTGATACGGTTTTATGCTGTCACGTATTTGTGACAGTCGACGCGAAAGGGTTAAAAAATAATAAATTTTATTTTCGATTAAACGTCATATTTATATACCTTAGAACCGATCACACAGACTAAACATTTTGTGAACTAACATTTTGGTAACAGACTAAACTTTGAAAAAAGTCTGCAAAACAAAATTTTCTCCTTAGCAAGGTGGCCACAGCCTGGAAAAATTTAAAAAGTTATGACAAAAGTTTATAAGGTTGCTGTAAATGTTATAGAATTTAATTACAATTCAATTGCAGAAATTAAGTCCATTATTCATAAGACAGATATTTCCTTAACACGCATTTTTGACCGATAATAATTAAGTGAAAACATATTGTTTTCCCGATCCTTTTCAATCTATTTTATCCATTGGTAAAAGGGGTCTTGGTTTGGGTTTGATGGCGTTCACACACTTTTCAACTGAGTTCGAGATTAATAGTAAAAAGTCTGCATTTGTCGTCATTGCATGCGTTGCTATGGCGGCCGCTGCTGTTTTTATTTTTATTTTCAGTAGCAGTCATTCTTAATGTATTTACATAACAATAATTTAGAGTATTTTTATATTATTTTTATTATTAGCATATAATTACTAGCTTGGTGGTGATTTTAATATAAATATGAAAGCTGAAGAAGGAAAAGTATTTTGTGACGTCTTGAAACACGTACATAGGCAGGATTTGAAAATCAATCCTAGGACAAACATCAATTGAGACAGTTTTTGCAACCCATGATTTGAAATGTTGTGGCGTTCAACGGAATCAGTCCAGAAAGAAAAAGTATTTGACCAATGGGTAACCAGTGATCGCAATAACCACAACTTTTTTGCTGACTTTTTTTTCTTCAATTTTACGGTAAATCTTTCAGCAGGAAAATCAACTTGAACTGTATAATACTTTGTATACGTTCCGTAACAGGAAACGTAACTAAATATGAACGTTATTATATAAAACAATAAAGTGAACGTTACTAACCTCCACTCTTTCTTCTTTAAGGTCTACCCTGAGAGCTAATTCTTCTCTCAATAAAACATCGGGATAGTGTGTTTTTTCGAATGCGGCTTCTAATTGTTCGAGTTGCTCTTCCGTGAATATCGTACGATGCCGTCTCTTTCTCCGATGACTACCCACTTGGTGGGTACCAGCACCCCCCAAAAACACCGGAGCAGAAGTTAAATAAGGGGAAAGAACACTTGTGTAACCTGAAAAACAAGGAAAAATACACACTTCAATTGTGGTAATTTATGCTTGGAACAATATAAACAATTTGAACACTTTACACTGTAAATTTCACACTTTACATTGCATTGTGAACTTCAGTTTGTAAATATTTTGCAATTTAAATTTGATGTTTTTCAACTGGTATAATTTAAACTTTCATTATGAATTTGACACTTTACTCTTGATGCAATTTAAATTACATTTTGAGCATTATGCGCGATAAATTTGATACTTCTTACTTGATGCAGGATCAACTTAAAGTTGAATATTTGTTCGATAAATTCTACATTTTATGCTTGGTAGAGTGTAAATTTTCATTTAAATATTTTTATGCTTTACATTTCAAAGCATGTAAAATTTATTTTAAATACTTCGCACCATAAATTTGGTATTTTACGGTTGATTGAATATAAATTTCAATTTGAATACTTTGCATTATGAATTTAATGTACATTGGATACATAACAAAGTATAATTTGTTTTATAGTAACTATACGTTTTACATATAAATAGGTTGTGAACTAATAAAAAAATTACAGTTAATTTCCTTATCTTTCAACTATAAAGATATATGAAATTTATCATAGAGTAAGTATTGCTATAGATTAGGATGACGTATATACGAATTGTAATTTTCACAAACAATGAATTATTTGCGATAATTTATTTTTTCTTTTTATGAGTAACAGAAAGAAATACAAAATACGGGGAATGGGGCACGTTGGACCGTGTTTAACTATTGAAATATTATTAAATATTTTTGTTTCTCTTTTTTTAATTAACATATTATACTCCCTGTCCTACTATAATGAAAAAATTACATGACACAGTTACAGTGCGTAATTTTTTTCCAACAAGTTTTATTTTAGTATTTCTTAGTAATTTTTAAAACTTTACTACTTTAACTTCTAAAATTTGTTTGTATAAGAATAGTGCAGTAAATTGCATTTATTTTACAAAGTTAGAATTTTGATATAATTTTTTTTTTTAAGCTTAGAAGACATGAAAAAAATATTGCGATATTTTTGTAAAACTGACATAATGGGGTGTCTAGTGTAATTTGAAATTTTGTTAATTAAATTTAGAAATATCCAAATGATTTTCCTTTTTCCTAAATCTATCACTTTTTAAACTATTTTTTATTACACTGATGGAATTTCCATTCTAAAATTGTAATAAAACAACCGGCAGCAGTCTGTCCATCCGATTAACCATAAAATTTAGATAAAGATCATTTTTTGGTTTAGAAACCATTCACAAAACTATATGGTTTTTAGACCATTTACAACTAGCACGGTTTCAAAACAGTAAAAAAGAAATTTAACTGGACGCAGGAGTAACTTTTTCGTTAGGTAATGGACGTTAGAGAGTGCAGAACATAAACCGGGAGTGCATGACACTGAAAATTTTTCACGTGTTGAACGTAGTGGAGGAAATAATATGGTGTCAACTCTGTGACTCGAACCCTGGTTCTGTCGGTCATGAGACTGGCAGATTGTCCTTTTAGGCTATTATATGTACGCATTTGCAAAGAACTAAATGATTTCATTAGATGTACTTAGTTGGTGCGATAAAAGTGTGTTTAACCGTAGTAGATGAAAGCGTTAAATTCGATTTTTCTCACAGTTAACAGTTTGATTACCATCTTATTTATGGGTATTTGACTGTTTTGCTTGAATATGGTAAAATAGCAATTAAATAAATTGTTATTTAGCCTTTTCTTCCGAGAAATTTCTAACAGTGTATATTATGAAACAATTTTATGTGTTCACAAAATAGAGTTGAAATTTTATATAGTAAATCCATTTTAGCACAAATAAAATTGAATTTTTATTCAAAACACTTCAACAATTTCAAAATTTTCATTGGACTCGATAGGTGATAAAATTTTTCTCTTATAAATATTATTAAAATATAAAATTTTGCATTGAAAACATATTTTATCATAACAAAATATTTTGTTAAATTTAATATTCCATTAAAATTTTTTATAAAAAATGACACATTTTTATATTTTATTTTATTAAATGCCAACTATGTACCTTAAGTAAATGAGATATTGTTTTCTTCGTGAAATTAATTTACAATAGCAATTTAATAATAAGAGGAATATTTCATGGAATGCAATTAAAATTTCAAATAATAATTTTTAATGTTCCCTGAATCTACAAATGTTACAGTATTTCAAAAAAAAAATTTTAAATTTTGTAAGCTTTTAAAATAATTTCCACCTTTTTGAAACTAATCATTTGAAGAGGTAAGTAAATTTAAATTGATTTGGCCGGTATTTAATATGTTATTACAAATAGGCTTTTAGAAATCGTTAATTCCACCCTGTAAATACGTTTTTTTCTTGTGATTAGTTTTCAGGCGGAAAAGAAAATTTCTTTTAAAATATTAATTTCACCTAACGCGTATTTCGTCGTATCTCCTGAATTTATAAGTAAATAAAAAAATTACAATAATAAATCCGCGATAGCTCAGGGGATAGTTTGCTCGCCTTTCAATGTGGTGAACCGAGTTCGAATCCCAGAGAAGGCTGGTGGTTACGAATTTCGCACCCGGCTCGCGCTGACCACAGTGCTGACGTAAAATATCCTCAGTGGTAGATGAAATATAGGTAAAAGTCCTCTTGTTGCCAGGCTAACCTTCAGATGTTTTCATAGTTTTCATCTGCATGTAACGCAAATACTGGTTAGTTCCAATAACAACTTCTTCTAAGACAAATTTCTTCCAACACTTGATCCAGGAGTTCCTTTGTCTCCTGAATCGGGTTCAAAACTACAAAGCTACCGAGTTTAACATCAAGTTGCTGCAGTCATAAACCCAAAATTGGGTCGGCCGCTCAGCGACAGTTATAAAATAAATTACAATAATAAAAATTTGTGTTTATCCAAAGATAAGCATATATAAAATTTATTCTTATCTAAAGTTTGAAGGAAATCAGTTTAATAGTTCCAGGTATTTGAAAGTAGTACAACTTTTTTAAGATAGCGAAATAGCCAAAAAATGAAATTAATATTAAAGGGCTTTCAACAGTTCTCCCCATCTGCAGACCACAACTAAGACATTTGTGATAATAACGATTTTATATAAATTTTTCCGAAAGTTATTGAAATTTAAGACATTTTTTTAGCGCAATTTGTTTGCAAAACTTCAAATTGCATTTTATTTTTACAAAAACTATAATGTTTAAAATTATGAAGGCTTGTAGATGAATGTTCAGAGAGTACGATGAAATAAAAAAAAAATTCGAAATAGAGATACATCAATTGCGTTAAACTTGTAGAAAAAAAATAAATGAAAATAACTAAAGTAAAAATTTAAAACAATCATACAATACGTTCGGTAGAGATGCAATTACGAAGTTGAAATTTGACGAGGTGTACAGACACGGATTTTCAAGCGGAGTTTTTTTTTCTTTTGTTTTAAATTCTGATTTGCGCAACAGTTATTGCAATTTTAAGTTCCTCTTTCGCTTTTCTGCTTAAAATTGTGACTGTTCATACATTGCTCTAGAAAAATTTATTTTTAACTTTCGAGATCTCGTGCTTGAGTTAAATTAAAAAGTAAAAAAAAAAGAGAATGAGTAAGAGTTTAGATGTTGTTAGATATAAATTTTATTAAAATTAATTCAGCTATAAAATTATTATGGTCAGACATAAAGTTTCAAAAACTTAATTCAAGTGAAATAAAAACCATCCCCTTTTTAACTATTACTATGACATAAATTTCATTAACGAGTAAAATTACTTTTCATTAATTAAAACTTCAAATCTCAAGCATTCTGCATTTCTAAGTTTAAAGTTCTTTCTAGTATAGTTGAATACTTTTCAAATCCAAGCAATCGTTCATTTCGTTACAATAATAAACAAGACGTATTTATATAAAATTATAATCTGTATATATTTTTATAATATTTTTGCTTCGTTTCTGTGAAAGAAGAAATAGAATGTGTAGAAGAAGTAGAAATTTTAAGGAAAAAACAATGATAAAAATGTGGCAATCACAGAGGTTGATGAGCCCTGCCTCCGAGTATTAAAAAAAGAATATTAAGTTTGATTGATTTCTGAAATTCAGTTAAAATTCGGCTTTTTGTAAATTTAATCAAAGTCAAAGAGTAAAATAAACATAAGACAAATTTAAGTCATACTTTTAAAGTAGCACAGAACTTCAAAATTATTTAATTTTGAGAATTGATTTATTCTTAACTAGATAGTTTTAAATATATTAGGAAGAAAAATTTATTTTATCTCATCAAATTACTTGTTACAAATTACAAATTTTTGATTACAAAATTAACAACGTAGTTCATTGAAAACATCACTAGATCTAATTTTGAATATTAATTAAGTTCTTATGAGACTAATATAAGTAAAAAAAAAAAACGAGATAAAGAAACTGAATTCATTTCAATTAAAGCATTTAAATTTAACTTTGGATTACTTTTATACTGATGATAAAAAAATGTTACTAATATTGATAATGGGAAAATAATTGAAATAATTATTGTAGAAATTGTAAATAGCTTTATGTTTAGTTTCTTTCAAAACTTTTTGGTATTTTGGTGTTAAATTTGAAGTTAATTATTTTATCGGAATTTATTGCTAGCTTTTTGTAGAATATTTCTAATGCTATATAATTCTGAACTTTTCAAAACAGCGGATAAACAAAATAACAGTAATAATAATACTGATACAAAGGCATATAAGTTGAAAAAAAATAACAATAACATGTAACTGACATATGAACAGTAAATATCAAATAATTCCTGTTTTATTTTTCTTCTGTATTTAACGGCTTCGAAAGCATCAAGAGTCCGAAATAACTGGAACCAAATTGTCCGTATTATGGAAGAAAAAGGCGAAGAATAGGATTAAAGAATAAAAAAAAAACAGTAAGTTACTGCCAACATTTTCTATAAGAAATGGGCAAAAATCTTAAAATTAATTTTAACATTTTTCCCAACTATTGCTAACTTAATTTGAAAAACCAAAAATTACAATGAAATTTTGTATCCATTGTTATTTCTATCATGAGATTGTTGTTTATTAATAAATAATAATATTATGATGGAAAAATTTCGCAGTTGTATGAGCAGATGATATAATTTCGGATATATTTTATTTTTGGGATACATTTCGGATATATTTCTGTTTCCTCAATTTAAATTGGTATTTGTTTTTTAATAGATTATGATATAATTATCAAGACATTTCTTAGGTAAAAAAATACTTCTGTATTCAACAGCGGTTGTAAACTTCTGACATTTTAAGAGGTAGATTTAACATTATAAAATTACGAGAATAATTAATTCTTTTTGATATTATTAAATTTCATAAAAATCAATTTTTGAAAATCATAAATGGTAAAAATCTAATTAAAAATTTTACAAATTTTTATTATAACTAATACTAATTTTACCATTTGTGATTTCCAAACATTCTTTCTGGGAAATTTAGATTTAACATATTGCTCAAAAAATTTAATGTAAAATTTGCCGACACTTAAACCATAGGTAAAAATGTACTTAATCTGATTTCCTCCATTTGTCTGTTAACTTTGCAATCTCACAATGACTACTTCACTTTTCAGAGAGTCTGATTTGTTTGTCACAAAACAGTAAATTTTTTGGTATACGAAGTGAACTATTGAAAATAAAGTTTAACTCGATTAAACTGCTAAGAATATTTCACAAATTCGGATGATCAACGTCCGGCTAATCGGATATCTACTCTAATACCATCCAAAATTTTAGAAGCATCAAAAGATTAACTTACCACAAAGATCTGCCCCAGCATAATGATAATGCAGAGGTGCTGTGGCGGCCCACAGGGAACTAGGTCCCGCCGAAGTTGTGACGGTATTAGCAGGGGCGGACAATCTAGGTGCACTGCAGGTTGAGTCCCTGGACAAGATACTGTCTATGGAAAAAGAAGCACTCGGTCTTTGGGTGGTCGGTGTGACTGCCGGATAAGTTTTAAAGAGATCCGTGACAAGACAACATGGATAAGAACTATGAAATGCTGGATAACCCGGAAGCATTTTCCTTCCTTTATTCTACGTTCAGAGAAGAGATTAAATAGGATTATCTGCACTGGAAAACGGCCTTCAGACTGTATCAAGTCACACATATAGGAGTCTTTAATCTTAAGTTCTTTATTCGTGTTTGCTGCTGATATTTCGTTATATTTTTTTTATAACATTTCAAAGCATTCGTGGTATTTTGAGTTTATTTCATTTCAATGAATTTAATGCTTTTTTAAGCAAGGCGATCTTTTGTTGTTTTACTAGATTTTAACATGATATTCTTTTCTTTACCGTTAGTTTATGCTGTAGGTAATAAAATATTGAATAGTTTGTTTATTTCTTATAACTTTAATTGACAGTGATCACTTAAAATCGTTTTATTTCTTTTGCAAATTAAAAAAAGCTTTGGTTGTTCAAAAATCTTTTGCAAAAAAAAATCGTTTGCAAAAGAACTACTTGAAAATGAATTTCACATTTTAATGATGAATAACTATTAATTAAGTTCTGCCTCATTATAAAAACAACATCCGATTTTTAAACGATGGAAAAAGATTACTGTAAAGAACTAGCGATTTAATCACTTGACTGCTCTTTCTTTTTTTTAAGATAAAATGCTGACGATTTTACAGAAATGGGATTTCGTGTTCTCGCGAAACCATAAAGCGACTGAAACCTAAGCACAGATGATTAGATATGTGCGAACACAAATCGTGATCCCTGTAATCTCTCCCTCCCCATTACCTGATGTAGGGTGAGTTGAAAGCTTCGATCTCTTGTAAACCGATTACGCCGGCGTTCGTATTGCCTGATATCCGATTGGCTGGAAATCTGTGGATCACTGCTACGATATCAATCGGATTGGATGAGAGTTTCATACAAAACTCCGCCTCTCCCGTGAGGGGTACTGAAATCAAGGTATTTAAATTCTGGATTTGATTGATTCTAAGATTATGGGGAATATAGAATTCTTCGAGATGAATAAATGCAAAAATTTAATTTCAGCTTAATTACTTTAAATCATTAAGTTAAATACTCGTTTATTATGAATTGATATTAAAAGCACACGTTTTACGAGATCCTGTTTTCTAATAGTTTGGTAGATACAAACGAAAATGAAAACAAACATCAGCATTTATGGGTTTATTTGTTTTATTCATCTCGTTTTCATAATGTCTATGCCTAGAAAAATTAATTACGTTAATATTTTGAGGAGAAATTTAAAATTTTGAATAAAAGTTATATTTGGGAAAAGAAAAACATGTAGAAAAGAAATATCTTCGAATAGTGATTCGAATTCATAAACTTAAACACAAAAGAAAATTCTACTAGAATTTTATTAAATTAATTAAAATGTAAACATANCTCTTGTAAACCGATTACGCCGGCGTTCGTATTGCCTGATATCCGATTGGCTGGAAATCTCTGGATCACTGCTACGATATCAATCGGATTGGATGAGAGTTTCATACAAAACTCCGCCTCTCCCGTGAGGGGTACTGAAATTCAAGGTATTTAAATTCTGGATTTGATTGATTCTAAGATTATAGGGAATATAGAATTCTTCGAGATGAATAAGTGCAAAAATTTAATTTCATCTTATTTACTTTAAATCATTAAGTTAAATACTCGTTTATTATGAATTGATATTAAAAGTGCACGTTTTATGAGATCCTGTATTCTAATAGTTCGGTAGATACAAACGAAAATGAAAACAAACATTAGTATTTATGGGTTTATTTGTTTTATTCATCTCGTTTTCACAATGTCTATGCCTAGAAAAATTAATTGGGTATAATATGAAAAAAACACAACTACTTCGATTTAGTAGGAACAACATATGACGCAATGCTAAACGAATAGAATTTAGTTGTTGTTTATTTAGTTATTGTTATTAGTAGTTGCTGTTATTTGTTTTAGTTGTTGTTGTTTATTTAGTTGTATTTAGTTTCAATAACTTTTCTTTATAATGCAATAAAATCTGGCGAGCAGCTATTTAAACGATCGAACACTTCGTTTGTTTATTTGTGGCTTGAAGTTAGGCTCGCAGAAAATGCCGTTCATGGGTTAAATTTAGTAGGAACAACACAACCTGTGACGTAGGCTATATTATACCCAATTACGTTAATATTTTGATGGAATGCTTTGATATTTATTTATTTATTTATTTTTTTTTTTTTAGATCGTACATAAATGTCATACTCCTATTTTCAGTAATTTTGATCCCTAACACTCTTGTCACATGCCTCTCTAGAATTACATCAACGTAAACGTTAATTCATTTAAATAAAATTCTATTTTATAGATTATACACATATTTTATTTTATTTTTTTAAACTACTGAGGACGTATAAGTATTACGTACCTAAAAAGGGGAAAATTAGTTGATACTTTACTTAGCTTTATTATTGCTGACAAGAGGGGGGGGGGGGANCAAAAGGGGGGGGGGGTGATTTGCTTATGTTTGTTAATAAGATGGGAGGAAGGGTATGAGCAATTCTTAAATAAGACAGTAAAATGCCATCTTTTCTAAAAATATTTTTTAAAAAAAAGGAAAATTAAAGTAATGAAACGAAGAAATTACGCGAGGAGAAATTTAAAATTTTGAATAAAAGTTATATTTGGGAAAAGAAAAACATATAGAAAAAAAAAATTATCTTCGAATAGTGATTCGAATTCATAAACTTTAACACAAAAGAAAATTCTACTAGAAATTTTTTAAATTAATTAAAATGTTAACTTTGTTTAATGCAAAGATACATATTATATTTTAATTCAATCATAAAATTAGATAACTACATTAAAAGTTAAAGCAGAAACAGTTTTTTTTTCTGGGGGGGGGGNGGGGGGGGGGGGTGATGTTTTGCGACGCAAGCATGAAAGAGGTTTTTGTCATTTGCTTATTTTTTCTGTCAAGGAAAGACGGGAGGTCTAACAGAGTCAAATGTAGAAAGACCCCAAACGCCCTTATTTTCCATTTTTTTTTAAATCAAAATAAATGCAATAAAAAAATTAAACTCGGATGAGTTTCAAATTTGGAATATAAGTTTATTTAGAGAACGGAGAAAGTAAAAAAAATTTTTTTTCTCCAAAGAATTTCCAAATTTATGAATTTTTTTTTTTTTGAGACACGAATTTTTTTCTATGCCAAGTTGCATCTTTCATTTAAATTTAATCCTGAAATTCGTAAAATTAAATTGCTACAGTAAAGTCAAAGTTAGATTAAAAAACAAGGACGGGGTGTAGCGAAGTTCTTACGTAAGCATAGGAGAAAAGTGATTTCCTTATTTTTGACTTTTGCTTCTCCTGCGCAAAATAAATAAATGAAATGAAAGGCACGTCGGAAAAAATTATATTTGGAAAATTTCCATGTTTGGAATTAAAACTCATATGGGAGACCAAAAATGCAGAAAAAAATTTCTCCGATTAATTTCAAACTTATATAAAATATTTTTTTTAAAAACATAAATTATGCTTTCCTAATAAGTTGAAATTTTATTTGATTTTAATCCTAAAATTCGTAAAATGAAATTGCTGCAGTAAAGTTATAGTAAGACAAAAAGGAAGGAGTTTGCGACTTGCGTAAGCATAGGAGAATTTGCTTATTTTTGACGTTTAATGCATCCGTGTAATAAATAAAATACAAAAGAAAAAAAATTACTCGTCGACAAACATAGCGAAAGAGAAAAAGACTAATCTATATGTATTAAATGCAAAGCCGTAACTCACTCATTCATTTACTCATTCCTCACTAATTCTCCCACTTCCCAAGAAGTTAGAAAGCTAAAATTTGGAACATGTATTCTTTATGAGATAGAGAAACTAAAAAAGTTTCACTTCGATATTTTATAATTTTCGAGGTAATTAGAGCTTAATTAACAGTAGTGCTAAGTAACGTGATTGACCAAGATTGAAGTCCCAATTCGACCATATAATTCTTTTCAAAAATAAAGGAAAAACTTCGATATTTTGTGATTACCCCAATTTTTAAGGTATGCTAAACAAAAGTTTGCTACCAAGATAGAAGTCACAAATTTCGACAGCTTGTTTCCTATCAGATAAATGAAAGAACTGAAAAAGTTTCATTTCAATTAAGAAAGTTTCACTTTGATCTTTGTAAATTACCGGAGTAACTTAGCCTAATCGAGAGTTATGGTAAATGGCCCGTTATTACCAAGATTGAAGTCTCAAATTAGAACCACGTGAGTTCTTTATGAAGATTTATATAAAAATTAAAAAATATTTCTAATTATCTGAGTAATTACGGCGTAATTAGCCTTCTTGACAGTTATGGTAAATAACACGTTTCTTTTAAGGTTGCTGTCTCAAATATGAATTTCGTATTCTTTATGAGATGCAAAAAAAAAAAAAAGTTTTATTTTGATATTTGTAATTAACGGGGAAATTATGGGGTAATCAGTCTAGTTGACAGCATTGCTAAATTTCGCATTTTTAACAAGATAAAAGTCTCACATTTAAGCATTTTTTTTTTCAATGGCCCACCTGGAGAATGACGTAGGTCAGGGGTGGCCAACCTTTATGCACCAACGTGCCATTTTCTCTAAAAAAATTTTTACTGCGGTCATACACGTGCCGACAAATTGACTTCGTGATTATAGGGTAAATAATAATATTAAATACTTTCAACTCAAAACTTAACTACAAAACTTTTACTTTTCTACGAAAAAAAAAAGCATTTTGCAATGTCTCAGTTATATTCAACTTAAAGTAACATTAGTGTGACTTCTGTTGTTGCAGATTAGAAGACAAATAACTTATTATTAGGGTTATAAGACGTTAGTTTAAGCAAAACTGTTAATTTTTTTGTTAGTTATTTATTGTTAGTTTGTTTTTTTATGGTTATTAATTGCTTTTTTGGCATTAATTGTGCATTTTTTTGTTAATTTTTCGTGAATTTTAATTCAATTGTTAATATGCTTCATAGTGAACTTTGTGATCGGTGGGGTGCCCAAAATATCGTGTCGTGTGCCATAAATGGCACGCGTGCCATTGGTTCGCCATCCCTGACGTAGGTCATACAGGCATCTGAAGGGTAGATTTGTTGACCACTCTTTCAGGGGCACCGTATTAGGTCGGCCAACATTACCAAAGCCTCAAGCAAACATTACCGTAGCCAGGATATTTTTTCGGGGGGGGGGGAATATAGTAAGAAGCAACGACAGTTTCAGACATGCAAAGTAGGGGAAAAACATTGTAACAAATCTTGTTCATTCTGTTGTTTGCAAAAGTTAAACTAGTAATTAAAAAATATTACATAATAATTATTTTTCAATTAATATTGCATAATAATTATAATAAATTTGTAAACAAAGTTTACATAGACATGCGACGGGGAATTGACGAAAATTTTTCGATTACTTTTTTAGGACAAATCGGAATGTCCCGAAATATGCTTATTAAAGTTAGCTTTTATTCTTTAGTAGCATTTCTTGTTGCTGTTTTTACGCGTTTAAGAGTAGAAAAAGTTCTTTCTGCAGTTGCTGTGGTGATTGGCAACGTAGCCAATATTAAAAACAAGCAATAAATGTTTGGGAAAAAGATACTGTCACATTCTTCCATTGCTGAAAGTGCCGTATCTGGTCTACTAAGGGGTTCACGCAGGTTCCACTTTGATGCCCATACTTCCATTTCTCCCATGAGGTTTTCGATGTCAATGAAATCTGCGTAGATTCAGAAATTGCATAAATTAATATGCTGAAAAACAATTGATTTCGTTTGTCAACAATTGTCTAACCGAAGGA